GCGCTCCGCTCCGCCCTCCGGTGCTCCCTGTGCCCGGCTCCCTGCGGTCGGCTCGGCGGCCCCCTCCCTCCTCCCGCTTCCCTCCTCCAGGCTTCTCCCTCCCTCCTTTTCTTCCTCACTATCTCCTCCCTCCTCCTTCTGCCTCCGCCTTTGGGGAGGGACTTCGCCGCCCCGCGCCAGCATCCAGGTTCGAGGTTCTCCACTCCTATCCCTGGGACGCAGACCGAGACCCCTCCCCTCCGGTCTCGGCTCCACATTCTGACCCATCTCATCAGTTTTGGCTCTGATCTCCTTGCCTACTACCACGCTGGACTCTTTCTAGCCTGGATCGGGTGGTCGTTTCTGCTCTGCTTCTCCGATTAAGGCCCCTCCTCCTGAGTCCCCTGGTTCCAGAGAGGGGCAGGAAGGTCAGCTCCCAGCCTCCTCCAGCAAGAAAATGCCATCGGGGGAGGGGCCTGCAAGGTCAGAGAGCCAGGGACTATGACTACATGACCAGAGGTAGGAGGGCAAGAGATAGAGTGAGCCAAACAAGGATGCCACAGAGCATCGTGGCAGTGGTGGGAAAGGCTAGCAGGCTTCTGGGAAGGAAGGGGTGCTAGACAGTAGCCTGAACCTAGCAACTCAGTGTCTATGGTCTTGTGGCCGCCTCTGATACTGGGAACCAAGTGGGGTTCCAGGCCCTTGCTTGCCCTGTCCACGGGGCTGATAATGTAAGAGCCAACCCTGCCCTGTGTGAAAAGGGCAGTGAGAGGACGGCTGACCTCCGGCCCCAAGTCCAGACCCCACTGTGCACTGTGTCCAAAGGTTCCAACTGAAACCATCAGTTGTGTTAGATCACATAGGCCGGGGGCTGTAGGACAACAGGATTCTGGTCCTATCTCTCAGAGGGTGGTCTCAGGTATGTCACAGGGCTGGACTTAAGGGCCCTGGGTAGCCTCTTCCCCTGCAGGGGTTCAGGCCAGAAATTCAGGCCAAATCAAAGACCTTCAGCAGCACCTATTTTGTGGTGATTCCAAGTCCCTCCTGCCCCCATAAGGCGGCCTATTAGGTTTTTGTACAATCCGGCGGGGAAGAGAAAAGAGGTAGGCAGGCCAACAACAGACACTTGCTATAGGCTGTACAGTAAACCGTCTTTATTTCTTTTGGTTAAAAACAATGGATTTCAATCTGGCATTTCTGTATACTTCCCATTCCATATGTACAGTACATTGGTGATGCACACCTAGCATTATAAACAAATATCAGAAGGGAAAGCACATTGAAAAAGTGGCTCCAAAGGTGACTGTGCAGGACAGGTCATGCACCGACCACGGATGGCTCAGTAGAAGCAGACAGTGTGCAGAAAGGCCCGGCCACTCTTCTCCTCAAACTCCTGCAGCAGCTCATCGATCTCATTCTCCATATCCTCAGTGTGCTGGATCTGGGAAAAGCAAAGCCTTGAGTGATTCCCAGGCATTATGACATGCCTTCCACACCCCTGCCCTGTGCTGCATCTTCCTGCAGTGGGCCAGCTTCAGGAGCGTTTCCTCAGGGTTGTCCCAACAGCCCCTTCCTGGCAGTCCCTGCTATGGATGATGATGGGCTCCAGACCTACACAATGACCACATAGCACCCCATATTGGAGGGGCAGAGCTAGCTTCAAAGGAAGGACTGGACCTCAAGGCTGGAACTCAGGCTCTGCTCTCAGGCATCACAGGTACTCGGAAGCCTTACCAACCAGTGCTACCCGAACCTTGCAATGAGTAAAGCGAGGCACACAAAGATACAGGCATTTTCCTAGAACTGTCCAGCAAGAGGCTGACATGCTTCATGGTGGGGCAGCCTGTGCACTGCAGCATGTTAACAGCACTTCCAGCTTCTATCCCTCAGACACCAATAGCTTCTACTGGTTGTGAAAACCTATAAGGTGGCAAGACATTGCCAGCAGTTCTTCGAACATTTTAAATGAGGGGGGCTGGCTGCTGACCACACAGCCCTGTCTCCAGATCATCAGCCAAACCACAAGCTCAGCAGTAACCCTGAAAGTAGAAAGTGCGCTGAGTTGAGCAGGAATATGGATCCTCCACGTCAGCCTCTACCTAGTAAGCCAAGAGAACATCAATTCTGTCACAGCCAGCTAACCTAAACAAAAGTCTCAAGGGCAAAAGGCAGAACAAAGCACATGGCTCTTCCTACAAAGTACTCCATAGCATCTTAACAGTGTGATACCTCCACACAGCAGGTACACAAGCCCTTAGGAAGCTGCAAGATTGCCCAGGGGCCTTTAGAGAAGGATAAATATCTAGATAAAAAATATCAGGCAAAGGGACACAAAAATATCCCTATACTATGGATGTTACCTCTGGTAGTCCCCAGACCTATCTTTGACAATACCAAGTAAGCTCTTCTAGCTATCCACCAGGGGAAAAAGTGAAATGTCATTCAGTTCTTCCAGAAGAGAGGCCCATGATCTGGGAGACGTCACACATCACGTCTACCATGAATAGAAGCACTGGGGTAGGTTCTCAAGCCAAAGCCATTAGATAACTTTCTAGAGTGTGCACTTCTTGGTCTTTATTTGAAATTTAGTATTTAACCGGGATGTAAAAATAAGTTGCTAGTGATAAGAAGCTCTCCTCTTGCTGGGCGTT